TAGATATAGCTCCCACATATATTTTCGACCGATTTTATGTAAATTGTTCACTATTGATCCAAAGTTTGGCCGATTTGCACGATTTCAAATTTTGTTGGAATCGATTCAGATATATATAGCTCCCATATATGTTTTCGTCGATTTTAGGTAAATGATGCACTAAACATCCAAAGCTAGACCGATTTTTGCAAAACGTACTGAAGTTAAGATAAATTAATCTCTGAATAGTTTCGAGATTTACATATAGCTTCAATATATATTTTCGTCCAATTTTAGGTAAATATCGCACCAAACTCCTAATACTTGTCCCATTGACACGAATATTGGCATAACGTACCAAATTGAGACTAGAATGACGTTTTTGCTTTTTGATGAAATAGCTTCCATATATTCCATAATTAACAGGTGTCTGATTGAGATTAAAATTTGAATAGTGATGGTATGGTATGTAATACGTGAGCAAGGTATTAAAAAAAATCAGGATATATCGATGATAATATGTGATCAATATATTAATATGTGATCAATATCGGATGGTATCACTACATTGGACTGCAGAACTTTGGCACAGCCCACTTATTTGGCCCAAGGGCGAACCCTATTGAAATTGGGAAACATCGGTTCAGATTTAGATATAGCTCCCATATATATTTTCATCCCATTTAAGGTAAATGGGACATCAAAGTCTCTATATATATGTTTCGATTTGCACGGAAATTGACATAGCGTACTGAATTAGTTCCAGAATGATGTGTGCCAATTTTCGAGAAAATCGGTTTAGATTTAGATATAGCTCCCATATATATTTTCGTTCGATTTTATGTAAATGGTGCATCAAAGTCCCTATATATCTTTCGATTTGCACCGAATTTGGCATAGCGTACTGAATTAGTTCCAGAATGATGTGTGCCACTTTTCGAGAAAATCGGTTCAGATTTAGATATAGCTCCCATATATTTTCGTCCGATTTAATGTAAATGGTGTACCAAAATCCCTATATATCTTTCGATTTGCACGAAATTTGGCATATCGTAATAAATTAGGTCTAGAATGATTTGTGTTAAGTTTCCTGAAAATCGGTCCAGATTTAGATATAGCTCCCATATATAATTTCGTCCGATTTAATGTGAATGTTGCACCAAAGTCCCTATATATCTTTCGATTTGTACGAAATTTGGTATAGTGTACTGAATTAGGTCTAGAATGATGTGTCTTAAGTTTCCTGAATATCGGTCCAGCTTTAGATATAGCTCCCATATATATTTTCGCCTGTTTTAATGTAAATGGCCCACCAAATACCCTATATCTTTCGATTTGTGTGAAATTTGGTATAGTGTACTGAATAAGGTCTAGAATTATTTGTGTTAAGTTTCCTGAAAATTGGTGCAGATTTAGATATAGCTCCCATATATAATTTCGTCCGATTTAATGTAAATATTGCACTAAAGTCCCTATATATATTCGATTTGCACGAAATTTGGTATAGCGTAATGAATTAGGTCTAGAATTGTGTGTGTTAAATTTCGTGAAAATTGGTTCAGATTTAGATATAGCTCCTCTATATTTTTTCTTGCGAGTGTATATAAATTGTGCACTAAAGACCCAAAGTTTGTCTGATTGCCACACAATTTTGTACAATGAACTGTAGTTAATATAAGTTAATCTCTGACAAGTCTCATTGAAATCGGTTCAGATTTTGATATAGCTTGTTCAAGTATACTTTCGTCCGATTTTACACCTCATTGACACAAATTTTGCACAACGTACTGAAGTTAGTATAACCTTTAAGTTGGATATAAATGCTTCGTCAAGGTGGGTCCAATCGGCACAAAATTTTGCACTATGTACTGAAGTTACTATAACATTTCTTGTGGCAAGTTTAGCTGAAATCGGTTTAGATTTAGATATAGCTCCTATATATTGTTTCGTCAGATTTTACTTTAAAAGGTGCACCAAAGACCCAAAAGTTGGGCCGTTTGCTACAAACTTTTGCACAATGTACTGAATTTAGTATAGCGTACCGTGTGCTAAGTATAATAAGAATCGGTTCAGATTTAGATATAGCACCCTGATTTTAAGTAAATGGTTCACCAAAGACCCAAAGGTAGACCGATTGACACAAAATTTTGCACAACGTACTGAAGTTAATATAACCTAGCGTGTGGAAAGTTTTGAAATCGGTTTAGATTTCGATATATATATATATATAACCCTATATCTGTCCAAATGAAAAATTTAGTGTAGGTTGCAGAATGACATGTTTATGGATCCTTTTTCGTGTTAATGTTCCTTCAAAAATTCGAAGTCTGTTGAATATACCCAAAGTGGTGAAGGGTATCATATAGTCGGCCCCGTCCGACTTTACTACTTTTTTTTTTTTTTTTTTTTTTTTTGATTTTGCTATGATGTTCCAATGTTTTTCCTATAGGGTAAAGATCTGATGATTGTGGTGGCCCTTAAAAATCCCCAAACAAGCGGTATATTTTCTTCAGCGAAGGGAATCATAGCGTTTCTAACTAAAATCTAACTAAAATCTTATGGAAGAAATTTTTGTAGAATATTTGCAGGACAAATTTCATCTTGTTTGATGTTCCAAATCGATTTCACAACAGAAATATCTGTGGCTTGTTATTTCGTTTTCTCAGAGGATAAAAGTTATGACATATAAATGTCCCGAACCATTTTAGGGATTTGGAATACCCAACTCATGGTGGAGAGTATAAGTTATTATAGAAAATATGGTGTGTCATACATAAGGACTTTGCGTATTTCTGTAACAAGGTTGGATTTTTTTTAACATATGCACGAGCCTTAAGTCCTCAAAGCGATGTATACAAATTTAAAAGCCAAAAAATCCGTTGTGATCATTTACCAGACCATTGAATTGCCTCGATATTAGAATAAGTTAGATCTTCTTAGCTCAATTCCATCCTTCCTGAAACAAAGTTCATGCAAAAATACTTGGGTCTCAATTTTTACAATTAAATGTATAATTTATTGTCTCCTAGACTACTTACCACCTCCGAACAAATATTGTCCACCCTTCCAAAGAATGCAATACACCGTTCGTTTTTTTAAGTAGTAGATTTATTTTGTCTTTAAGCTTTTTTAATTATAATTTTAATTATTATTATTATTAATTTATTTAATTTTAACTAAATTAGAGAAAAATTTTTTTGTAGATGTTGTTGTTGCTAATTTTTTTCTTATTATTTAATAAGTAATAAACGTTAATTAAATATATTTAGAAAAAAAAGACCACATAAATAGAAACTAGAAATTCATTTTGGGTGTATGTGTGTGTGGTTCAATGTTCAGAAAGGGGGAGTGGGGGAAACATACATAGATATTTACATAAGATAAGTAAGGTTAAGAAGGTGGGGGATACATAAATTGCACAGTTTATTATTAATGAACAAACAAAAAAATTCGTTAATGTTTTTTTTTTTTTTTTTGTAAAGATAATTTGTTTTTTTTTACTCTCTTATAAATAGAAATTTTGTGTGTGGGGACAGGCGTTTGAGGTTAATGAACAACGTTCTTGAGGGAATTGCAAATAAAATTTTGTTCGTTGTAAATTTTTTTCAGACAATTGTCAAAATCAAACAATTTAAATTGTCAATACTTTGTTTTGGAAATTATTATTTTTTTGTTATTAATTATTGTTCATTCTAACCTTAAAAGCCTTAATTAATTATATATGTATATTTTTTGTTTGTTTTATTAACTTAATCTTACGAGTTGTGGTTTTTGTGATCTTTTTTTTTTTTTTTTTTTTTGTTCTAAGGACGGTTACAAATGTTGTTGATTTTTTTCTCATTCTCTCACGGAATATTTAAATGGGTGTGTGTGTGTGCGTTACAAGGCCTAGTAGCTTAAACTTATAACTAAACATAGTTTTGTTTTTGTTATAATATTTTCAAAACTTAACCTATGAAAATGAAAAAATTCTGAAAAATTAAATAAAAATAACTCAAAAATAATAAAATTAAAAAAATAAAAATAAAAAACTCAAAACAAAAAGAAAACAATAATAAAATAAAAAAACACATAAAAATGGTTTTTACTAAGACTAAAGGGGGATGGGGGATAAGGTGGGGATTGGGGGGTTTTGGATTGAGAATTGGTGACATAATCAACACAACACAACAATATCAAAACCATAAACCTTGTGTGTACCGAATGTAACCATAGAGGGGGGCAAGGGGCGGGACGATAAATTAGTACGTCTCAACAACAGTTGGAATATACAATCACAAAAGACAACACGTGCAATATTCAACTGCAGTTGACATACTAAAATAACAACTATTTACACATACAGACATTATGATTACATTCACACATGTACAACAACACGTTATCGGCCTGAAAAAATGTGTTATTTGACAACGACACCTCCTCCGTTGTAAACTTAAAACTAACAGAAAGAAAAAATTAAATAAAATTAGAAAAGAAAAAATAACTAGACATAGAAAATATTGTATAACCCTGTTCGGATATTGACCAATCGTCACTGTGGTTCAAAGTGCATTTGTGTGGGTAGCTCTGTGCGCGTGTGTGTGTGGTGTGCGAGAGCTTAATATATTTAAGCTGTGTGGCAGTGCGATGGGCCAAGTGGTAATAATTCACTAGGACATGTTGGGTTATTGCATGCCAGACATGATGCTGTCAGATTGCCGCTAACACCGTCACTGTCGCCGACGGTACTGTCACCATTAACATTGTCATTGCCGTCGGCGACAGAAACAGTAGCGGCCGCAGCTGCCGCCGCCACCACGGCTAATGCATTTTCAACATCATCGGCGCCCAACGCCACTGCTGCCAGATCATGCAAAATACTTTGGTCCTCATCAGCATGCTGGATGTTGTGATTGTGGTTGCTGCCGCTGCTGCTATTGTTGTTGTTGTTGCTATTACTATTATTAATAATATTATGTTGATTATTGCTATTTGCTAGGCAACCTATGTTGCTGCTGCCCGCATCTAATTCAGCATAAGGTTGTCACATCGATAAACTACCCACCGCAGCCGATATCTGAGCATGTGACGGTTGATGCAACTGATGAGAATGGGCGGCGCTCACAGCCAGCGCATGATGGCCATGTAAATGTGGATGCAGACGCATTGTTGGCATACCCATGGCAGCCATTGAACTCATCGAATGCAGGGAATGTTGTAAATGTAGACCGGGTTCCAATTTCGGTTTGGTATCCATTAAATTAGCATAGTCGGGATGTTGCACTCCACCAATAGTCGGTTCGCTGACTTTTTTATTTTGTTTACGCTCTTTAGCGCGACGATTTTGAAACCATATTTTCACTTGACGTTCCGACAGCGATAGGGTTTGTGCCAATTCGGTTTTGCGTCGTATGGTGATGTAACGTGATGTACAATATTCTTTCTCCAATTCTAGGCGCTGGAAATCGGTGTAGACCACGCGATATTTATCCTTGGTACGGGTTTTACCTGCAATGGAGAAGAGAGAGGGGGAATTAGTAAAATTCTGATTATTGGACATAAAAAATGGAGAATCAGTAACTAAAGAATTAAAAATAATTCACTTGCGCTCAACAAATGCTGTTGGGCGCCATCTACTGCAATTTATTTGAATTAACTGATATAACTACAGTTTGAAATCTTCAGAATAATGAAAATGATCCAGTTTATCAAATAACAATTCAGCTTCCTTTAGAAATTATATCGAATGATACTGAATATCCGTTGGGCGCCATTTTGTCTTTGAAATTTAAAAATTGAAATTGACCCAATATTAATTTGGATGTATAGCCACATTTTCAATAAGATCATTAATATTAAAATTATTCTGTTGGGCGCCATTTATTCCAAATTTTGGTTGGGTGCTATTTCAACACAAGGAGGTCAATCAAGACTATGTCTGTAGTATTCTATAGGCCCAATCATTATTGAAAGATGTGAAGATGGCATTGACACATTTTCAGAAGGCCTAAATATATTGTGAGTTTTCTGTTGGGCTCCATTTATTTCGATGTTTTTAGGGAAATGTTGGACCCAGTCTATCTTAAAATAATACCCTGTACCACAGTGTGGTGAAGGGTATAAATATAGGAAATTCTTATTTTCAACAATAATACATGATTATATGGTTTCATTTGGGCGCCATTCACTCTGGGTTTTTGTTGTGCGCCATATATTTTTAAATGTAGATTTCTTTGTCGCCAATTATTTGTTCATAAAAAACATCACATGATCACAAATAATTGGCGCCAAAGAAATTCATAAAAAAATGTGATGTACGTTGGGCGCCATTTTTTCTTTAGTTCTTTAATTAAAGTTCGAAACTAACAAGACATATTCCACAGCTACTCCTGATGTAAATACTTTATTTGTAATGAATTTAAATGAAAAAATACGTTGGGCGCCATTATTTTTTTTGCCTTTTAATAAATTAATTTAATTTTAGAATATTTTAAATAATTTAATTGACAATTAAAATTGTTTAAGACATTTCTATATGATTCACAAATAACCTTCATGACACCACAAAAAAAAAATACGAACCAGAAATATCTTAACAAAAAAATAAGAACGACAATTAAATTAAAATTAAACTTGACTGAGTGACACAATAATAAAAATGTGTTCACACCTTAATTTCTTGCATTCGTCTTTACTTTTTTTGTTTTTGTTGTTGTTGTTGCTTTTGTTTAACGTAAACATAAATAAAAAAGCAACAACAACAACTTCAGTCAGTCAGCAAAGAAATGAAATACAATTAAACATGAACTTTTATTGCCTTCATACACATACGCAAAGAAAGAAAAAATTAACACCAGGCCTTACCAGCCACCCACCATAAAACCTACGGTACCAACAAAAAAAAAACCCATTTTATTATATTTGGGTTGTTTTTTCAACAACAACAAATATTCAAACAATATGAAAAGAACACCAAACCCTACAAATTCGTAGATAAGTTAAAACACAAAATTTTTAGCTTTATTTATATCTTAACCAAAAAAAAATTGTGTAGATTTTTTCGGGTTTTGGCCAAAAAATGGGATGACATTGAAGATATTTTTATTGTGATAGAGTTTGAAAAAAAGGTCCCGTCTGAAATGGGAGTATCATATTTCAAAACGTTTTGGAGAATATCTCAGAACTCATACATATCATCTTCAATTAAATCAATTTATATTTACGTTGGGCGCCAATGTTTCGTATTACGCTAATTATTTTTCGATTGTGATTCTAAGACCAGGATTCAATGAGAATTTCGTTTTGAAGGATTTGTAAGCTCAAACTTCAATAAAATATAGGTAGAATCATATAACTTCTACATAAATTTACGTTGGGCGCCAATTTAATTTTTTGTATAGAGATGTAAAAATCAAATTCGAAATGAAATATTAGTAACTTTGACAATTTTTTTTTGGAGAATTTGAAAAAAGCATTGAGTCAACACATATTTTATTAGCCTCTAGAAGAAAAATATTTACATTGGGCGCCAATTATTGTTACTGTGAAGTTGAAAACAAAACTCCTTGAGAATTGTATTTTAGGCATTCAAATCGTGTATTTGATATTAATATGTTTTAATAACAAACCAAATGTTGAAAAACTGTATAATTAAATTCAATTTACGTTGGGCGCCAATTTAATTTTTTTATATAATGAAAAAACGTCCAAATGCCACAAATCTAGAAAGGAATATCATGAATATCAAATCAGATGAAATACTGAAGCTTGCAATAATCAACACAGATCATTATTAGTTGTAATAAGCAAATTATGATACGTTGGGCGCCATTTATTTGTGTTGTGAAAATGAGACAAAAATTCCATTAGAACTGTTATAAAAGATTGAAATTAAATGGGCGTATGTGGTATTCATCAAATATGTTTTTGCTTCCATACAAATGTCCTGGAAACTATAAACTTAGGACATTTTACACTTGGAAAATTTACTACTGAGATAGAGTTAGTATTATTCTCTAGATCCAATCGGAATACTACAAATATCGTGGAACTGTTATAAAAGATTGAAATTAAATGGGCGTATGTGGTACTCATCAAATATGTTTTAGCTTCCATACAAATGTCCTGGAAACTATAAACATTTTCCCGTTCGTCGCCAATTCAATTTATTTACTCTTATAGAAATTTTTCTTAACAATAGATTTTTTAGGTATCCGAAATTGTGCGGCCTTTTAAGCTAACACAGATATATTTTATTTCGCTTCGATATAAAACTGCCGGAAAGCAAAATTCCATTAGAGCTGTTATAAAATATTGAAATTAAATGGGCGACTTTCTCCGAAACTATAAACTTAGGACATTTGCCCGTTCGGCACCAATTTTATTAGATTACTGTTATAGAAGCATTGCACAACAATCGAATTTTGAAGAAGTTAAAATTGTGCTGCCTTCTTAGAATATTTTTAATTGATAATTAAGATATATTTTCTAGCTTCGATATTACCATTGGGCGCCAATTCCATCCTATATCTAATATAACATCCTTTCTGGTGTCATTAAATATTTCAAAAATGAAGAATATTGAAGAAATCATCATGGACTATATTTGCTAAAATATATTGTGATCAACTGACTGAGTTCACGTTGGGCGCCAATACCTTGTATTGCAAAACTGCAATTAAAAATATTCTATAAATTAAAAATTTTTAATGTTCCTCGTCACGCTAATATATGCATCCCAATCTCCTAATTTACATTGGCCGCCAATATCTGCTCCATGTTGGGCGCCGAAAAAATCCACTTTCGACAACCCTAAAAACTTCTCAAACCAAAAAAAAAATGCGATAACAAAATTTACATTCCAACATAGATTGTGTGAAATAAAGCATAAAACTGCCTGATATTGCAAAATCATCTGACGCTTGTCGTAATATGTTTGTATGTGGAATGAATGACGATCGTGCGTATCGTCGTATGTATCTAAAAAATCTAGACATCTATTTCTAGATGATATGAATTCACCTGATCTATCTTATCTTTGCTTTGCTCTAACTCTGAAGAATGACATCCAAAAAAAAAAAAAAACTAGTGTTGATGTTCAAAAGGCACACTGAAAACAGATCTTGAAATAATAAACGAGGGTATTAGAGAGATTTTTCATTATTTAAAATAGCTATGTGTAGGTATGTGTGATATCCGCTGATACCGTTATAGCTAAGTTCATTTATTTATTTAATTTACTTGTCTAGTTCTGTCTAAACAAGAGATGAAGAAGAAAAAAATAAAACGATTGTAAAATAATTAAGATGTGAACTCTTTTTTTTTTTTTTTTGATTTGGGTGTAAAAAAATATTTACATATCATTTATTATTACACCCATTGGGAAGGTGGGAGAGAGAGAAAGAGAGAGAGAGAGAGAGAGAGAGAGAGAGCGGCAGCAAATTTTTCACATAGCAACCTTTTTTAAATATAATAAAAAGTGTATTATTTACAAAATTTACAATGGTAAATAATGTAGAAAAAAAGATGAATAATTTATAATTCTTGGGGAAATAAGCAGGTGATGAATACCTTGACACCAAATCGACACGAGGAGATAAATAATGGCACACAAGTTTTTTTTAAGAAACATATTTTAGTAAATTGTTGAGAGTATAGGATAATGTCCTTGAAATATGCTGATTTTCGGATCGTTGTGAATGGCTAATACGTTTAAGTTGGGCGTTATTTCATTTCTTTGCATTTGATATATTTCGAAGAATGTAAGAATGAAATCCTCTGTTAGTTAAGAGATTTTCAGTTATTTGTGGCCTAAAGACGTATTTACGTTGGGCGCCAATACTATTTTGTTATGACTTTACTTTAGAATTTGTAGAAGTCCTCATATATCTTCGGAATTTACATTTTTTTGTATGTTCGATCTTTGCTTTGATAGATACCTCCTAGTAGTTACCTTGGATTTTTTTAATTCATAATTGTTGCAATTTAATATATACCTTTGCGATCCCAAGCTCAACAACCCAATCCACATTAACAGATAACCCAATATAATAGTCCTTCAAAACTTTGCGTGGTATTAGCTAACCAACAGTCAATGGTGCGGCAGTCTTTGATGTAAAATCCCAAACTGTTATACAAATGTTGCATGCAAAGCCCATATAAGCTAGAGAGCTATAAAACCAGCAATAACAAAAAATGACAATGCATGCAGCAACAACAACAATATTGGTAATACAAGAATGTCTATTGACAATAGGCAACATGTGGGTTAGGCATTCATGGACAGAAATGGAATTCAAGCAACAACTACATCAAACCATTCAACCATCCATGATGGCGTATGGAATGAAGACAACATATTTTGTTGCACATCGATTTATTTTCTATAGCTGCTGCATGTTTTGTATGTGTGTCTTTTTGTTGTTGTTATTGATATAAGGGTTAAATGATAGAAAATATTTACAAACAAAAATAGAAACATGTATTTATTGTAAACAAATAATGGAATT